TTTTGAAGAAAAATCACTCACAATTTGAACTATTCTCGGCTCTTGAATTGCTTTCTAGGAATTTCTTAATGTATTCAAGAGCCGGTAACGATCATAATTTGGACTATAAGCGGCTCTTGATTCGCTGGATAATTTTTCTAGAAAGAATCAATATCCATTAATAATCAAAATAATAATCAGTAGTCCAAATTTTGAAGAAAAATTACTCACAATTTGAACTATTTTTGGCTTTTGAGTTGCTTTCTAGAAATTTCTCAATGTATTCAAGAGCCGATAACGATCAAAATTTGGACTATAAGCGGCTCTTGATTCGCTGGATAATTTTTCTAGAAGGAATCAGTATCCGTTTATAATCAAAATAATGATCAGTAGTCCAAATTTTGAAGAAAAATCACTCACAATTTGAACTATTCTCGGCTCTTGAATTGCTTTCTAGGAATTTCTTAATGTATTCAAGAGCCGGTAACGATCATAATTTGGACTATAAGCGGCTCTTGATTCGCTAGATAATTTTTCTAGAAGGAATCAGTCAGTATCCGTTAATAATCAAAAGAATGATCAGTAGTCCAAATTTTGAAGAGAAATCACTCACAATTTGAACTATTCTCGGCTCTTGAATTGCTTTCTAGGAATTTCTTAATGTATTCAAGAGCCGGTAACGATCATAATTTGGACTATAAGCGGCTCTTGATTCGCTGGATAATTTTTCTAGAAAGAATCAATATCCATTAATAATCAAAATAATGATCAGTAGTCCGAATTTTGAAGAAAAATCACTCACAATTTGAACTATTCTCGGCTCTTGAATTGCTTTCTAGGAATTTCTTAATGTATTCAAGAGCCGGTAACGATCAAAATTTGGACTATAAGCGGCTCTTGATTGGCTGGATAATTAGGTATCCATTAAAAGTAGATATTACCAAAACTAAGACTCTCGATAGTATAAATTCGATATCGATACTCCTAACCTATCTATTTTAACAAAAGGCCAGTCTGTGCTATCGTACATTCATGAAATCCGAGCCGCTTTCCGCAGGAAAAGGATATGGATAGCATCAAGGCCGCCCCAGCAAATGGCCAGTCGCAAAAGCATATCACCATTAGGCTTTCATTGATGTTCTGGCCTCGTTTTACGTAATATATTATGGACCACACCACCACGACGTTTTAGCAGAGATTGAGTATCCCGCAATATGCCTCAAGGGATATTATCGTTTAAAATCGATTTATTAACTTCAAAAATAAAGTACCTTATCATTACAATACAGAATATCAGATTATTATGGATTATAGGTACATCTTATTTTCCGCTTGGTGAATTCGAAGCTTATAGCCCGGTGATTAACTTGTTTCCATAATCAATTAATAAAATGATAAATTGCATTAAAGAACCATTGCAGTAAAATATAGTTTATCAAATTCTACATTTGTCAAACTGTATTGTAAAATATAGGACATGTCGTCTATGGATCCTGGTTCCTAATAAGGTGATTAGTAAATTGATAAACAATAAGGGTTTTTTTAAGATCTTTGAAAACCCAACCTTATTAAATATTCATTAAATAATGAATTCCAGTACTTGTGCCTTTTTCAATTTAGGTAGGTACACACTGAATTTTCATTACTTACTTCTAAACCTTCTGGAGGTTGCATGAAATCTGAGTCTTTCAAAGTTCCATTCAAAAAAGCTAACTTTACGTCAAGTTGAATTACATACAAATCATATTCAATGAATAAAGACAACAATATTCTTACACTAGACATACGTGATACAGGTGCATATACGTCTTCACTTAATGCACTCTAGTAGATAGTCAAAGCGGGTTCTAGCATCAAAATCCGACCATAACCTCAATCTTGCATTCTTGACACGAAGGTGGATGCGTCGGCGCCATCTTGTCATCTGTCAAACGTCATGGCGCCATCTGTCGAGAGTGCGGTGAATTCTTGCAATTAATCGACAAGGGTTCGAAATTACAGTTTCCTAAAGGCGCCGCCGATCTAGAGATTTTCCCACGGTATCGAAAAAAAATTCAGGCTGAGGTGCTCCCATTACTACTAACCTGTCTCGAAAAGCTGCCTGTATAGACAGACCTGTCTCGAAAAGCTGTCTTTATAAACAGACCTGTTCCATAAAAAAGCTGTCTGTGTAGACAGACCTGTCTCGAAAAGCTGTCTGTGTAAGCAGACCTGTCCCGAAAAGCTGTATCGGACCTGTTTCTGGACCTGTATAGCTGTCTTGTCTACACACTTAATTGTCTCTAGACCTATATATTTAGAGCGTTTTATAGTCCATACGAAGTTACTTGGACCAGGCCTTAAATAGATAGCGCCACCGATAATATCATGACGTCGAAAAATTTGGGGTTGGACAACGTCAAATCAACGAAATTGCAGATCAAAGGCGCCGCTGATCTAGAGATTTTCCCACGGTAACGAAAAAACTGTAGACAGGCCTGTCTCTGGACCTGTATAGCTGTCTATGGTCTATTTTTTCCCAAGATATATTTTGACATTGTCAACTTTGAAACATAAACAATACCTCTTAGCCCTGAATGATCGCAAAATGATGTGTCCCTGCAGGTTGACAATGCATGCCGTGGAAATGGCATCTTGAGACCAATAAGCGGCATTGTTTTTGTTTATGTTTCACCGTACTCTCGACAGATGGCGCCATGACGTTTGACAGATGACAAGATGGTGCCGACGCATCCACCTTCGTATGAAGGACGGCGCATCCACCTTCGTGTCAAGAATGCAAGATTGAGGTTATGGTCGGATTTTGATGCTAGAACCCGCTTTGACTATCTACTCACTCTGCTTAAATCCACGAGCCACTAATCGCGCTTTCTTTTTTACTTTTCCATTCACTATTTTTTCACAGAGAACCCATCTTGAGTCAATAAGTTCGACATTCTTAGGTAGCAATACTTGTTTCCATGTTTTACATTCATCCAATACTGAAAGTTCTTCGCTAACAGCATTTTTCTTTCCTTTGTCTATTCTTACAGCATCTGCATAAGTCTGTGGCATTTCATTTAATCAGTTTCCAGTTGATAATGCTGCAAAAAATTGAAGTCGTCATTTTCAAGATCATATAGTCTAGTAATCTTCTTGATAGTTATTTATTTTGTAAACTTCTTCTTATGTTTGGTATTTCATTTGTTTGTTCCAACTTTTTCTCAAATTTTCTTGCACTTAATGTTCATCTGTTTCTTGTTCAGTTTCCTCTTCTCTATTTTCCTGTTATTCTGGATTATCATCTATATAAACTATTGGTTGTTTTAATTCTTTAGTTTCTTCAAAAACAACATTCCTTCCATGAAAAACCTTGAAATTGATTGGGATTCCAAAGTCTATATCCATTGTTTGCATATCCAATCATAATTAATTTTTTCACACTACCTACCTTGTCCCTGATAACACAGGATTTTCCTGGGATATCCTGCCAATGTACTATGAAAGTATGAATGTCCCGTACCTTGATAATACATTCCCAGAATGTTTCAGATAGAATATAACTGGAATATTTAGATGTAATATTCAAGGAACATCCCTCAAATATTCCTGTTTCTTTGTTTTGTGATTTCTTATTTATAATTCTCAGCTTAGCAGCATATAAAGAGAAAAAACTTTTAAAAAAATCCCATTGCCAGATTCAGACCAACAAGACCAACGACCCAACTGCGCTTCGTCAGTTCGTCTATCAACCAGCAGTGTTGATTATGACGATACCCATTTTCGACGTTGTCAGATTTCTTTGGATGATTTTATTCCATATAAATATGATGAAATATACCTAGTAGTTTCATAAGTTTTCGAATTTTATATGTAATGTTTGTATATGAAAATACAATTAATAGGTTGTATATTTTTTTATATTGGCGATATTTTACTCGTTACACAAAAATAATATACGTGACAACTGGCAACGTCGAACAAAAGCCGCACGTCACAAGCCACGGCACCTCACTTCATATTCATCACAGACAACCTAACCTCACTCCGAAAAAACAAGTCAGCAAATTTTATTGTTTGTTATTAATTTAGTTTTGTTTTAATTACAAAATAATCGTTTTATCGGTGGTCGGTTTTGAACAATAAAACGTTCGGTGCTTGGTTTGCTCGTGTTTTTTTATATGGTTTTTCGTAGATTTTTCCACGAATTTCCCACATAATTTTTCACTGGCTCTTCCAATTTTCGAGGTTTCGTTACCTTTTGCATTTTTGTGTTAGGTAAGTACTACATGTAGCCTGTTCAGTAATTTATTTAAGAGGTTTTTAGAGTGCTTACAGTGCTGAAGATGGATCCTACAGGAAAAAAGTATTGTTGAGCAACTAATTATTGTCAAAGGAACAAACAATCAAGTCATTCAGAACCTGATCTACAAGATGAGCATCAGAACCCGAGGCAGCATCCTTTCTCTAGTTCTACGCTCGTTTCTATGACTGAGAGGACATTTTACTTGGCTACTTAAGATTCTATGAAGATTTTAATCAGATACCTTCTACCGTTCTAACTGAACAAAGTATCAGCACGCATTATTACTCTTCAGAAAATGGAACTTTCTAGGAAACTGTTGATGCAAGTGTTGGATGTCAATTTACAATTTATAATTTGAATAATATCTATAATTAATAAACCTAAACAAAAGTGTGTCCCACTAGTTTATTTGTGGGATGTTCTGTGCATGTTCCTCCTATATCCCACAAAAATCCCGAATATACTATGTGGGATGATTGAAGATATTCCAGGAATGATTCAATAGAACATTCCTAGAACATCCATTTTGATGACAAAAGCGTCTCCTGGAATGTTCCAGGAATGTTTCAGGATCTAAACAGAATCTTCCAGGAATATTCTGATTGTCCCAACTAAATATTCTTTGAACATTCCTGGGATGTCTTTGTGTTATTAGGGGTATTATCACAATGTACACAATGTATCCATAGAAAAAAAATATTATTAAATCTAAAAAAACAAATTCTTTCTATTCCAGGACGCCAGATTCCGCCAAGTCGTCACGATGGGTTCGCAGGATACCCTGGAAGAAAAAACCGTTACGGTGGCCGTGGGCAACGACTTCGTCAATCTGACTTTCGTAAATTTTTGCTGCACCAAAAAGGATATCGCTCAACTATGGACCGATGCTCTCATGTCGCTGGCCTACAATCTGAATCAGATTAACGGTACGACGCAGGTTTACCTGTTGAAAGCTTATACCAAGCTGACTTTGTTGACTGATAAAAGTGGAAAGATACCTGTTAAAAAGTAAGGATAATAATAAATTAATAATTAATAACATTAGGCATATTGTTCAGAGAGAAAATTAGAAATCTACTAGAAAAAATATAAATAATTTGCCTCATCTTACCTTTTTCCACGCCGCTCGTTCTTTTTTCCCTTCATCAAAATATCCACTTGACTCACTTTCTCAACAAAAAAAAAAAAAAGGTTATTTCTCAGGACGCTAATAGAATTTTCGGTTTTCTTTTTTTCTATCCAGCATTATAAAGATGTGCGCACAAAGTCGGGACGACAAAAAAAGACTGGAAACGGTGCTGAGCGGATTAGGCCTGCCCTACGGAAAAAACGACAGCATCAATCCGGCCAAGTTCACGTTCGAGGATTTTTTCCGATTTTACATGCAGCTGACTCAACGGTCCGAAGTCGAGAGGGTATTTAACGAATAGTAAGTGGAATTTTACAAATTTCGGAAACATTTCATATATTATCTAAGTACCTATTACTGCTTCTTCAGGAAAATGATAAAAGAACTTTTCCATTTTCTAGTATAATGATAGGCAACAAAAATTTTCCGCCCAGGTTTTCTCTATTTGAAGTATGAATAAGTAACGAAATTATTCCAAATTTTGATTGGTATCAAACATCAATGATTTCCGAATATTGAAGTTAATAAATTAAGAATAATAACAAGCCCTCTTTGCGTAAAAAGGGAAAGGTTAGACAAGCTTCTGCCTTTTCGCGGTTATCAACTTTGCTAATATTCTTAGAAAATCTGTCAGACAATTCTGTAGTATACCTATAATTATGTATATTGCTCTTACTCCAAAACGAGTAAGTAGGTACCTATGAAATTAACACAAAATTAAGTACCTAGTACCTACATAATAAAAATATCTAGATTCAAGATAGTAAGTTAAATAAACACCCTCCAGAGTAATGGATCAATCTTCTATGAGTTTTCCGATGACTGAAGAGTCCTATTCTTGAGGTTATCACCCTGCCACATCCTGGACATTCGAAATTTCCTTGCTTTTACGGATTTTAATGGCGTTTGCTTGGTTCTATACTGTAACTGTTCACTCAGTTTTTCAATGGGGTAAGTGACCAAAACTTTGGTTTTATCATGTAAGCTTTGGAATGTTGGTTTTCCATTGAATTTTCCACTTTTCCAGGGCTTTTTTAATTAGAAAAAATGGTTTTAAGGGCGTGGCTTTGAATTTGCTTCATTTTCTCACCAAAAACTTCCATTTTTAGACTTAAATATATTATCCTACTTTATCTCTCTCTTTGTCTTGCTCACTATCACACAGATCTTGTAATGTAGTTTTCATTGAAATTAAACTAAACACACGTCTTCAAGGCCATATTTAGGGAATTTATTGTTTTATAATCGTTAATAATTAATTATTTGACACTTTTTAATTAAATTTAACCATTTAAAATGTTATTGATGTCATATGGCAACAACGCTTTTAGTCGGCCATTTTGAAGTGTCGTGTTTACATTTTTATCCAGTTTTTTCTCGAATTTTCCACTTTTTCAGGTTTTTTTCAGTCGGGAAAATTGGTATAAAGTACGAGGCTTTGAGTTTTCTCCATTTTCTGCTAGAAATTTCCAGTTTTAAATCCATTAATTTACGGTCAAAGGGTAAGTGAGAAAAATTTATCAAGCTTTTGAGGCCTTATTTAAGGAATTTCTAATTTTGAAATCGTTATTAATTGATTATTTGACAGATTTTTAATTAAATTACAAGTAAAACCTCATTTTAAATGCTTTTGGAAGTTTTTATGTGGCAACACTGCTTGTGACCAACTTCAATCAAATAGGCCTTGCCATTTTTGACAGTCGGCCATTTTCAATTAAAGTGTTTACATTTTTATCCAGTTTTTCCTCGAATTTTCCGCTTTTCCAGGCCATTTTCAATCGAGAAAACTGGTTTAGAGTGCGAGGGTTTGAGTTTCCTCCATTTTCCACCAAAAATTTCCAGTTTTCCAACGGGGTAAGTGACCAAAACTTTGGTTTTACCATGTAAGCTTTGGAATGTTGGTTTTCCATTGAATTTTCCACTTTTCCAGGGTTTTATTTTTAATTAGAAAAAGACGGTTTTAAGGGCGGGACTTTCAATTCGCTTCATTTTTTCACCAAAAACTTCCATTTTTAGACTTAAATATTATCCTACTTTATCTCTCTCTTTGTCTTGCTCACTATCACACAGATCTTGTAATGTAGTTTTCATTGAAATTAAACTAAAAACACGTTTTCAAGGCCATATTTAGAGAATTTATTGCTTTATAATCGTTATTAATTAATTATTTAACACTTTTTATTTAAATTTAACCATTTGAAACGTTATTGATGTCATATAGCAACAACGCTTTTAGTCGGCCATTTTGAACTATCGTGTTTACATTTTTATCCAGTTTTTTTCTCGAATTTTCCACTTTTTCAGGGTTTTCCATTCGGAAAAATTGGTTTAAAGTACGAGGTTTTCTCCATTTTCTGCTAGAAATTTCCAGTTTTAAATCCATTAATTTACGGTCAAAGGGTAAGTAAAATCTCATTTTAAATGCTTTTTTTTTGGAAGTTTTGATGTGGCAACACTGCTTGTGACCAACTTCAAATCAAATAGGCTTTGTCATTTTTGACAGTCGGCCATTTTCAATTAACGTGTTTACATTTTTATCCAGTTTTTCCTCGAATTTTCCGCTTTTCCAGGCCATTTTCAATCGGGAAAACTGGTTTAGAGTGCGAGGCTTTGAGTTTTCTCCATTTTACACCAAAAATTTCCAGTTTTCCAACGGGGTAAGTGACCAAAACTTTGGTTTTACCATGTAAGCTTTGGAATGTTGGTTTTCCATTGAATTTTCTACTTTTCCAGGGCTTTTTTAATTAGGAAAAGTTGATTGCAAGGGCGGGGCTTTGAATTTGCTTCATTTTTCTATCAAAAACTTCAATTTTTAGACTTGAATTGTATCTCCCTCTTTGTCTTACTCACTATCAAAGCAGGCCTTGGATTATTATTTTCATTGAAATTTATTAAACATAAGTTTTCAATTCATTATTTTGGGAATTTACCATTTTATTAACTAAAACAAAAAAGCATTTAAAATGTAATTTTCTTCTATTCGAGATGTGGCAACGTCACTTTCGATCAAGTTGGCCTTGTAATTTGTAATGCAATGTCATTGACCAGTTTTGACAGTCGGCTATTTTTCAATGCTTTATCCAGTTTTTCCTCAAATTTTTCGCTTTTCCAGGCCGTTTTTAATTAGGAAAACCGGTTTAAAATACGAGGCTTTGAATTTCCTTCATTTTATGACAAAAATTTCCAGTTTTCCAATGGGGTAAGTGACAAAAACTCATATTTTATCAAGTAGACTTTAGAATGTCATTTTGACTGGTTTTTCTTTGGATTTTCCACTTTTCCAGTGCTTTTTCGATCGGGAAAACCGATTTCAAGTACGAGGCTTTGAATTTCACAGCTGGAGTGTGTTTAGAAATGGAGTTTGAAGGTAGAGTAGTTGTTTGGTAGAGTAGGGGTTTGACGTGTTCTGACGTCATCACTTGGCGTGCACTCTGGGTGAGCTATTTCTGAACGTATTGGGGCGTTGCGGTAAATTGTCAACGTCAAACCCGATAAAAACCGCGGGGCGTTTTTCAACTCAGTCCCTGAGTGGGGAAACTTGGGCGCACTCTGGGACGGTCAACTTTCGTTTTCTAAACGATTCCAGCGTAACGCTTCGAGTAAGCACCTGTTAATTTATGAACGGTTTAGAGTTACTACTCTGGGGTCACTCCCACACCCAGAGTGCTATTTCTAAACGCAACCCAGCTGATTTCAGAAAATTGACGTTCACTTGTCCCATTAGTGAGTTCGGAATGTAAGAAAGTGTCGACACTTTTTACACTATTGACACTGTGGTATTCGTTAATTGGTTGGAATTTTGGTGTAGGTACACTTAATTTGCGTTCGGAAATTATTTGGTGTCCAAATGGTGTGAAGATGGGACACCGTTTACTCGTTACAAAGTGATAGTGTATTTGGTGTTACACCGCCGATTACACCTTCATCACGTGATACAACACTGCACTACACGAACACCGCACTAGCACTGCACTAAAATCCCATCCCGAACTCAATTCATATATTATAAGCTCATATATAGCAGCTTCTTAGCAGATCTTCCTAATTTTCGAGCAGGTGAAGCAAGTACAAATGAACAGCATAGTCGTTATCTGACACTAATGACAGTTCGGATACTGGAGCTGGAGTGCCTTTAGAAATGGAGTGTGAAGGTAGAGTAGTTGTTTGACGTCATCACTTGGAGTGCACGGTGGGTGCGCTATTTTTGAACGTATTGGGGCGTTACGGTGAATGTCTGTCATGAATCATGTCAAATCCGGTGAAAACCAATATAAAAACCGCGGGGCGTTTTTCAACCCAGTCCCTGAGTGGGGTAATTTGGGCGCACTCTGGGCACGTCAACTCTCGATTTCTGAACGATTCGAGCGTAACGCTCCGAGTAAACACCTGTTAATTTATGAACGGTTTAGAGTTACTCTAGGGTCACTCTCACACCCAGAGAGCTATTTTTAAACTCAACCCTGTGAAGCTTCGACGCCTCGCTGAGGCGCTAGCGGGGAGGATAGACCAAGGAGAATACACACTTTAAGGAGTGCTTATCGGCCTCGTTTTTGGGCCTACGTCAAGGTGAGAAATTACATGCTTTCTACGTCACAGCTGGTATTTTGGCAGGAGGGTGAAGGGGGCATTTGTTACACACAGGGCACAGTCTTATGAGGCTAGGTCATCCTGTAGTAGTAGTAGAACCTTGAGAATAGACGACAGCGGCGCTTGACGCCCTGATTAAAAAAACGGTTCTGTACATTTCAAAATCGTGATCCAAGGCGTCCAAGTCCCTGAAAAGAAAGCAGCTTTTATTTGCGTTTGGAAATGATTTGGTGCCCAAATGGTGTAAAGTTGGTGGGACACCGTTTACTTGTTACAAAGTGATGCTGTAATAAGGGTTACACCGCCGATTACACCTTCATCACGTGATAGTTGAGTTCGGGATGGGATTTTAGTGCAGTGCTAGTGCGGTGTTCGTGTGATGCAGTGTTATATCACGTGATGAGGTGTAATCAGCGGTGTGACACCGAATACATCATCATTTTGTACCGAGTAAACGGTGTCCACTATCTTCACACCATTCGGATACCAAATTATTCCCAAACGCAAAAAAAGTGTACACCGAACACTCCTACCAATTAACTAACGCCACAGTGTCAATAGTGTAAAAAGTGTCTACACTTTCTACCATTCCGAACTCACTTGATATAACACTGCACTACACGAACACCGCACTAGCACTGCACTAAAATCCCATTCCGAACTCAACTCTTGATGCCGCACTTAGGACGGGTATTATAAAACTGCTTTGACAGTTAACTTAAAGTTAACTTTTTGAATTACATGTAATTCCAGAAGTTAACTTCAAGTTAACTCTCAAAGTAGTTTTATAATACCCGCCCTTAATGTTGCCAGCTAGGTCTACTGATTTGCCAGTAGATCTACTGATTTGGCCATTGGTCTATTGATATACTGATATCAATGTGAATTCTACTGATCATAGCAGCTGTCATTATTTAACCGCTTTTTGTGATATTTTTTTAATTAAAATGTATGAGAATGTCACAGCAATAATTTTATACGCGACCTTGGGGCTAGGAGTGTACTCTGAGTTCTCTGAGCGCCCGATCACTCCGATCAGTACGCTGTGGTAATTCGACCGTTTCGCAGTGCTCAGCCTAACTGGATCAACTTGGGAATCTCCGGCGCTCGTGTATGACGTCACGATATCCATGCTCATACCGTTCCGATTCGAAATTACTGAAGTTATAAGTAAAAAAGTGGCGCCGTGTCCGGTCCCCAAAATTTTTCAGGATCAAAATCTTTTTTATTTTTTTCCGGGCTTACGAAGCGTCGGAGCGAAAAACACCAAGAAATATTTTCGACGTATTTTTGGCTTCTCTATCCGGTGGTATTTTTCATTTCTCTAAATTCGGAAAAGTTAATGCAGGGCGTGTATGCACCATTACACGCCCTTTTCCAAAATTGGGGAGATAGGGGCTAAAACCCCTCCGGTAGGTCGGAGAGGGCTGAAACTTGGAATATCAACTTTTCTGAACCCCTTTCACCTACTGGTTCCGGCGCCTATGAGAATAAGGACCCATGGGAAACAAAAATTGAAACCGAAATATATAAACAACTGGGAATAAGGAAAACGAGAATCCTTTAACACTAAATGTGAACAATTTTACTGGTATTGTTTTTGGTAATTTGGGTTAATCCAGGAATATTTACAGAATTTTTTCATGTGCTTGTTAGCTTTGATTTTTGACTAACACGAAAATAGTGAAATGAGTTTGAAAATATAAATAAATGATAGTCATACCCTTTGAAATTACGTAAATCTAGAGGCAGAATTTAAATAAATTTTTTATATATCTCTTCTCCATTTGAAAAGAAAGTGCGTGTGAAGAAGCAGTAATATGTAACTTGTGAAACACATAACAACATAAAAATACTTAATTTCAGTGTCGGTACGAAAAAGTACATGTCAGCCGAACAATTCGTCGAATTTCTGAACAAAACTCAAAGAGATCCAAGACTAAACGAAATTTTGCACCCTTACGCCGACACTGCGAGAGCTAGAGACGTGATAGAGCAGCACGAGCCCAACAAGTACATGTCCCAAAAGGGACAGCTCAGTTTCAATGGGTTCCTCAGGTATCTGTTGTCAGAGGACAATAACATCATTGCCCCTACTAAGGTAATGTAATAACATAATTAGCGCAAAAAATATATATATATATATATATATATATATATATATATATATATATATATATATATATATATATATATATATATATATATATATATTGATTATGCTTTTGCCGTTAATGTGTTTTTAATTATTGAGCTTGATAAAAATCAGTTAAATTATTATTTTGTGTTTTCAGTTTGACCTTAGTGACGATATGGATCAACCATTGGCTCACTATTTCATAAATTCATCGCACAATACATATCTGAGTGGTCATCAGCTTACTGGACGAAGCAGTGCTGAAATGTACCGACAATGTCTGTTAGCTGGCTGTAGGTAAGTGAAAATTGTTAATCTTGTTTATGTAATGAAGATCTACAATTTATAATGACAATATGAAGCTACAACTCCCACGAAATGCGCTTGAAAATCTGTTCTTTGACTTTTATAGGTAACTTCTTTGTTTACAGAGAAAATATTTTTCTCTTGAACCACTTGATAATCAATAGTTTGTCGAAAAAAATAACATTTAGTCATATGTAAGGTAAGTCCAGCGTTACTAAATACTTTTAGGATTTTTGATAAATCTCTGTATCTGTCGTCAAAGTCAACTGCCTGAATCAAGATGTCATTCATGTAGGCCAGTGCTGTATTAAATCCTAATGATCGAAGAACTAGGTTAATATTTCGCTGAAATACAGCTGGAGCATTTGCTAATCCAAATGGCATTCGTGTATACTCATAATGCTCATCCGGCGTAATAATTCTTTTTGACCAATAAAATAGGACTCGCATATGGCGAATTTGAATTGAAAATATTTTCAAATATTATGTTTATATTGTCTCATGTCGATAGCCTCCTCAACCAAATTTCCCTTAAGAAAAATTACAAAAGTTGCTTTTCACATCGAATATCTCTCGGGGCGATTTTTGGCAACGATGTCCTTTCGCAAACAAAAAGTTTACAGGAACTTTTCAAATATATCGCGAATTTATTACACTCTTTTCTTCTGTTTTTCTTTTATCGGAGTTAATTTATAGTTTGAAAATTTAAAAACCGTTATCAAAATATAGGAAACACAAATTCCTTCGTAGACAGATGTCGGATTAACCGTGCCAGAGTTGACTAAAGCCCCGTTTTCAATTTATTTGATGTTTCGGGTTTTGAGGCTAGAGACGCTTTTCAAGTTTCAATATAGCCGCTTTTTCCATGTGGGTGAAAACGCTCGGTTTTATTGAAACTGAGGAAATGGGAGTTTCATCATTAAAAATTTCCACTTAAATCTACATAAAATAATTGTTGATGAAAACGAAATGTAGGTATGCCTGATGAATTTGCAAAATAAATTGAAATTTGGTTGAACCAAGAAGTGGAATTGCCGGAATCAGATATCATCCGTGTAGGCCAGTGTTGTATTAAATCCTAATTATCCAAGAACTAGGTTGATAATTCGCTGAAATACAGCTGGAGCATTTGCTAATCCAAATGGCATTCGTGTATACTCATAATTGAGGACCAGAAAAAATGCTATATATGAAAATACATCAATAGAAGGAAACTGTTATCATTACAGGGTTCGAAAGTCTCTATATCTCATTTATTTTCAAAGCATTAACTCCTAAAGGCTTATAATTTTGTAAATTTTAGCTCAACATTTTATCCATTCTCCTGTAAAGAAACCCAATCGACAGGACACTGATAAGTTCCTTGACTTTTATGGCCTGGCAACAAAAGCAAAGTTATGTTTCATGGATCAATTTTCAATAAAATATTCAAACTTAAATTATCCAATAATTACAATTGTTTTTTTTTTTTTTTTGGGAAATTAAATTGAAACGTTTTATATGTTAACATGGATTTCTATTTCAATCTACTGACAATGGATTTAACGTAATTTATGATCGGTTCGCAAACAAAAAATGTTGACATTTACCGTCGATAAATTCGTGGAAATTATTACGTGAATATATTTAGCATGAAAGTCTGAAACTTTGTTGGGTATTCAATTAAACTAGGTTTTTCTAGTTTCTGTCTATAAATGAAAAACAAGAAAATTCATGCTGTGGATTGAAAGTTTTAAACCGTAAATTTATGAGAATGAAATAACCAGATTTCAAATTTAAATGTTGAAGAATCTCAACCAAAGATGACGGACGCGATATTGAACTTAAGGTTGAACGTGCCAAAAACCAACATGAAAAATATACGAAATCAACATCTTCTGTTTCTAACAGTTGTTCGTTCAATCTGTCACTGACATTGTTTATGTCATCTACTTCTAATTCTTTTGTGCCATTTTCTAAGGAGCATCGAAATTTTACTCCACACTCCTTCACATTGGTAATCTAAACTTTTTCGTTTATTTTTAGCGGAGAAGATGAGCGTACTCGATGTCTTCTATTATAGTTTTCTTCATTTTTCTCTATTTCTCGTAGTCGTTTTATTTTAAAATCGTTTATATAGTTCCAATCTGGTATTAACTGAGATTTTATTGTTGTTCTGAGTCTTCGACCCATTAATAATTCTGCAGGGCTGTAACCTCTTTCCAATTTTGCAGTTCTATAGTTAAGGAGTCCTAAGTTGGGATCTTCGCTCTTTGCTATTATTTTTTTTAGCTGTTGTGACTGAGGACTCTGACTGTCCATTAGATTGAGGGAATGTTGGGCTGCTTGTTGTGTGAGTGAAGTGAAACCATACGTTTGTGCAAATTGTTTAAAACAGTAGCTGCTAGATTTGCCATGGGTACTCGGGTACAGGTGTGGGTTTCAATATTGGTTTCAATGGTTCCACTGGTGGTGTCCTATGTTCTATGCATTTTAGACAGTTTGTCACTTTTTGGCTGATGTGGCTGCTGATACCAGGCCACCAGACTGTTTCTTGTGTTCGTAATCGGTTCTTGGATATTCCTAGGTGACCCTCATGCAGTTTTTCCAATATTTTACCTCTCAGGTCACTTGTTATGTAAACTCTGTTTTTCTTTATGAGCAGTCCATTTAATTCTACAAGTTGATTCTGAAATTGTGAAAAGATTTTATCTTCAGCCAGCATTTGGTGAGGTTCTGGCCATACTTGATTGACATATTTCAATATTCTTTGTGATTGTGGGTCTTTTTTCTGTGACGTTTTTATTTCTTGAAGCAGTATGTCTTTTATCGGTAAACTTTTGTATGCTTGGTTTGCAAACAATTCAACCCTTTCAATGAAAAGAGCATCAGCATCAGAGAGAGAAGATCTGGATTGTACATATTCTTCCCTGGAATGTATTCCATTGTATATGAAAATCTCATTAATCTTATACGAAATCGCTGAATTCTCGGTGTCAATTGGAATATGGGTTTTGATTCGAGTGTACCAAGGGACGGTGCATATTTTGGCTTCTGTATCAGATTAAACTACGAGAGGCATAAGATATGGGTCTCCAAGTGCCTTCGGGCTGCAATTGCTCCATGTTTGCACCGGCTCCGTAAGAACTGGAATCCGCTGTGACTCTGGTTGGTGGACCGGGTGCAAAATGGGCGTAGATGTAAGGGCTACTTTGATTTCTTCAAGTGCCTTTTCATGTATTTGGTTCCAGCAGAATTCTACCTTTTTGCTCAATAATTCATGTATAAGTTTTGCTATGTTGGCCAGATTTGGTACAAATCTGGTGTGAACCTGAATACATCCTAATAGCCTGCGTACGCCACTGATATCATTTGGCGCTGGCATTTGTAGAATTGCTTGAACTTTCTCTGGATCAGTTTCTACTCCTTTTCTTGATACCATGTGTCGTAAAAATGTTACCCTTTCGGCTCCGAAAATACACTTTTCTTTATTTAGTTTTAAGTTTCTTTCTTGAAATCTCTGTAAAACTTTTAGGCTAGTCAAAATAGGTGGTTGGGGTAGAAAAAATTAGTAACAAAGTGATCTCTGCGGAAATGAGTAGTCAATAGGGTCCTAATTAATCCCTCAAAAATCGCACTTTGTCGCATTGGTGGGACTTGGAAAAAAATGGCCGCCATCTTGATTTTTTTCGAATTTATTGAATATTTGGTAAAGTATGCATTATATCAAAAAAACTCAAGAGAACTTTTTTGTGGAGAATCAAAAGTTACTTATATTGAAAAAAATTTCAAGACCATTAGCTGAAAAACTGAAAAGTTATTGACATTTATTTCATTTGGCAACATGGAATTTTTCAAAACATCTGAAAAAAAATCAAATAAGTATTTTTTTTTGGTGCAGAATGAAAAACTAGATTCAAAAAGAGAAATTCAAGTAATTCAAAAATCTAAATATTTTTTTTTGGAGGAAAAAAGACAAATATGACAAGAAAAACATTTGGGGCAATTTGGGCAAGAAACTACCCAGTCTGCCTTCTACATTACATCTAAACGTCTTAAGACTAAAAAAAAAGGTCTAAAAACTTCCAAAAGATGTCCTAAATTTACATTTGAAGGACAACTGAGCCACACTATTTCGTACAACCGGGCCTATAAGTGAATAATGGTCCATGTATTCAAAAGAGATTCAAACACTTCTTTTAGAAATTTCGTTGAAGACGTCTTTAGAATGCCTTAGTTCTAAAGGCGTCTTTATGGGCAGACGTCTGAGAGGCGTTGGGTTTTGTAACATACGACGTCTTCAAGATGTCTTTAAGACGCCTTAAAGATGTAAGCAAGACATCTTGAATGTCGTTTGGTGGACATAGTAAGAACGTCTTCAAGATGCCTACAAAAATTTCCCACAGAATTCGTTTTTTATTCAATTTTAGAAGTTACTTGAAACCATTAAGAATGCTACAGAACATTTTAGTACTTTAATAATAAGCCTTTTCGAAAGTTCAAAACACTTAAAATTCAATTCCTAATTTCCAAAAGCATTCTTTAACGCTTCAAAACATTTTGGGAAATTCAGAACCATTTTTAGAAAGGAGCATTTTGGAATTTAGAAACTTCAGTGATATTTTAGAACAATTACGATCCAATTAAGAACTGGAAACCTTTTAGAATGCTTTTAAACCAATTCAACTTCACTTTGGAACTTCAATGGGGCTCTAAAATACTTAAAAATCTGTCAGAACATTTTGAAATTTAACATGGATCCTTCAAAGGAGAGGACTTCCCAATTTAGAAATTACTGAAAAACTTCTAGAATGCTCCAGAACTCTTCAAGCCAAGTTAGAACACTTTAGACAAACCTCAGAATTATTTCAGAGAGCCTAACCCCTTTCCAGTTGTGGAAGGGGAAGACTGGAAATTTGAGACCATGCTTTCGGTTGATACCAAACTTTTGAATAATTACTGATGCTTTTTTTTTATTTCAATATAGGTATCTTTAATCCTCTACTAAAGGG